TGCCTTCAACACGTATTTACATAGTGTTTAATAGTTTTTTTTTAAATCCTATTTTATTATAAACTATTACTCATTCTGTCTGAGTTCATTAATACAAAGCCACAAACCTTTATTATCATTATAATAAACATAGATTTTCCCCTCTTTTTTTGGGGGGTGGGGGGGGGTTATAGGATTAGCGTAATAAAAATGAGAGTAATTACACTAATAGTGATAATGAGAAACACTACAGGATAACGATGTGCACGAGCTCGTTATCACGTTATTCAGTACGATGTTGATGACATTAATATTAATGAAAACAATTACCGTTAATAATAATAATGATATAAATAATAGTAACTATTATTATAATTTTCATCACGATGATAAAGGAATTGAGATACGGAATCGAACGCTGTTTTATTTTTAATTTTCATCTTCTTCTTTTTAAAGGATTAGGAGAGTTAGGACTCGAGGATTTAAAACTGATTCCTTCTTGAGATCAACAAGATACTTATAAGCATGTTAGTCAGTTCAATTAATCTCTTGTTGATACGTACAGTCATGGAGGAAAATTGCTTTCAAATGCTTGTTTCTTTTGTTAAGGGTTAATCGACCTTAATAATTTGTATTGTATTTGTATAAGTATTTAATTTCATCACTGATATTGTAGACTCGTTTTTGAATTGACATAATTTGCTCCTAGATTTAGGATCAAATTTTGAAATCATCAACACATCAGTTTTACATATACAGCTTACACCTATGAAAAATAACCTTTTCTTTTCTGTACCTTCCTTTATCAGAAATCCCTTTGTTCCACATATGCAGTATACACGATACAAACACACACACACACACACACACACACACACACACACACACACACACATACACACACACACAAACATTTTCTCTTCTACGTATCTTCCTTCCATCAGAAAAAAACAAGGTATCTATATGCATCTTGAGAAAATCCCTTTAGACTTCTTTCTCACAAACAACTTTCTCAATATGGCAATATGACAAGCCCATGACAGTCTACACCCATGACAAAAAAAAAAAAAAAAAAAAAATACGCTTCCTCTTCTTTGCATCTTCCTTCCTAGTACCTCTTCCTCCTAGCAGAAAATCCTATTATTTTAGGAAAAAAACATCGATTTTCAGACTTCTCGCATATGCTTTCCCCTTTACTTTATCTTCTAACTCATTTCGTCCCGCAGGATACTTCTTCCTTGCTTTCTCAGCATTCCGTCCCTTCTTCTACTTTCTTTCTCTTACTTTCTACGTCTCTTTTATCCTCTTTAATACTCTCCCTTTCCTTTATCATTTCCAAGCATATGCCATAGTTCCTCTCCCTCTGCAACCTTTCCTTACCCTAATAACCCTAATATTCATAGTGCTATGAGTTAGGAAAAAATAGATTAAATAATAGATTTAGCCAACAGAGTCCTGCCAGATTCCATCTTCAGGTCAGATTGAATCAATGAGGATTACAAAAGTGGTGTCTCACTTATCTCAATAAATCTAGTTTGAGTATTTTGGGCCTTTATATTGTACCAACACGTAGAGTGTTTTTTTATTATTATTTTTTTTTTTTTATAGTGTTATCTATTCATATGAATTAACTATATCCAACCCTTCCGATTCTCTCTGCACAGGCTTCACCTTGTGTTTATTTCCCTTAATTTCCGTAATACATAAAGCAAAAGCAGCCATTCCCTTTTGCTCTTCAGACCCGGCACAGTCACAGGCAAAGTGACTTGACAGAACCGAGATGACAGATCTCTTCACGTCTCCTTTTAGTGTGATCCTGGCACGGAACGGCAGAAGCGGAAGGGTAAACTTGTCCCTAGTTCCTCATAACCAGAAGTAACCGTCAGATCTGCGCAAATATTTAGATCCTACTTCAACCTGCCAACTGTAAGACTCCCTTCACCTCCCTCTCTCCGTCCTTTAGAAGACCTCTTTCCACTAGTACCGAACAACTTTAAAACTTCCCTGATAGACGTATTCGCTCCACAGGCTATTCAACTTTGCTGATTGGACTTCCATTTCTCGATTAATCCCCAGTTACCAAACTCCAAACGCCGCCATGCCCTCCCACTCACAAACATGCGCCAACTTCATGACATATCCACAGATGCAAACTCACTCTCAGCCAACTTCATGACATATCACAGACAAACTCACTCTCAGCCAACTTCATGACAGCCAAAACTCACTCTCAGCCATTCATGAACATATCCACAGATACACACTCTCAGCCTTCATGACATATCCACAGATGCCAACTTCATGACATATCCACAGATACAAACTCACTCTCAGCCAACTTCAATGACATATTCCTTTCACATACCACAGATACAAACTCACCTCAGCCAACTTCATGACATATCCACAGATACAAACTCACTCTCAGCCAACTTCATGACACCACAGATACAAACTCACTCCAGCAACTCATGACATACAGAACAAACTCACTCTCAGCCAACTTCATGACATATCCACA